CCTCCTTGAAACCCATCCACAGACCGAACATTCAAAGTGAATAGCTTATCTGATAAGGAACTGTACTTATCTCCGATCTTCTCTTGGAATGCTCTGACTTGTCCTTTGTATGGTGAAACCACTCCAACGCTCATCTTCATCCTTCTTTCACTTGAAACTGTTAAGCAAATAAATAAAAAATCAAGACAGATTACACCTTCGAAAATATTTAAATCAAGAAATATTATAACTTTGAAAAGATTTAGAACAAGAAATATTATACCTTTGAAAAGATTGGGTATGATTTCAGAAATCACAGCAACTTCAACCATGTTCTTGGGACTATGACCATCACCAAACTCTTCTTTCCCACGACCAACATTGATAAACGAGAAAGAGCCAAACATGTTTCCTTGTAGAAACCTCCTTTGGTAACTGCTTTCTTGAACAATCTCAGCATCTCTGATTCTCCCTCCATAAAACTCCCTATTAGGGAATCTACTAATCGCAGGATGCATTCTGTATTGAACATTAAGCAAGTGCTTGTTATGGCCAAGCTTAACCAATCTCTCGAACAAGCTTCTTCCAAATTTGGCATTCTCAGATTCCTCATTATGAACCATTGCAGGTAACTGATACTCATCTCCTATGAGAACAGCATGACGCAAACCAGGAAGCTGCAACGCAGCAACTGATTCACACTCTTTAAGCTGAGCCGCCTCGTCAACCACAACAAGATCTACAAATCCTATCCTTTCAGGATTCATTTCGGCAGCACCAGAGGCTGTGCATAAGATTATATGAGCGTTTTGTAGACAAAACGTCCTAATATCTTGGTTCTCCAACAAGTCCGCAATCTCAAAACTTGCTGGAAGTAAAAGTAGAGCATGAAGACAATCATCACGGATGAGTCTGTTGAAGCAATCGAACCTGAAGCTTCCCTTCTTGAAATCATCTCTTAAAGCATTTTGCTGCAAGAAGTACCTGACACGTTGAAGAGCTTTACGTGCTGCGATCATATACTTAACATGCTCAGCTGAAATGAAAGACTTTGGGAGATGTGTGTACAAATCAACCATATCTTTCTCTATTTCTTCACTTGCGCCATCAAACTTCTTCTTTACAAACTCTCCAAACGTAGGAATGTTAAAAACTTCCTCTTCTTCATCTTCTTCTTCTTCAAAATATTCTTCAAAATCTTCTTCTTCAGATTCTTCTTTCCACCTTTGAGCTTCTTTCAGCTCATATACGTGACGCTCGTACTTGTCCTCTGTGTTATCAAGAAAGTTTACCAGTGACTCTAATTTCTGCTTCCAACCACAGAATGGCGAAAACAACTTGCCAAGTTTATCAATGCGCTCATCAAGAAACACATCTAGAAGAAGACTACTCCCATTCTTCTTAATTCCCATTCTGTCCCGATTTCCAGATAAAACCATACTCCCAAGACCGTAAGTAGCATGTTCTGATGAAGATGTTTCCTTAAATAAAGCCAAAAGCCTCGATGTTACCTCAACAATCGCTGTGTTTGTAGGAGCACACACAACTGTTTTGCACTTCAGATTGAGAAGGGCAAAGAGAAGCGTCGCAACCGTCTTCGTTTTGCCAGTTCCAGGAGGCCCCCAAATCAGCTTCACAGTGTTCTTGTGACTACAATTTCTCGTCTTAATGCAACCCATGATTGCAGTTTCTTGTGATGAGTTGAGTTTCGCAGATCGGATTATATCCAAAACACGTTGAGATTGACAACCCTCAACACCAGTTCCATCACAAAAACATTCTTCTGTTGCCTGCAACGCAAGCAAAACCACAAATTACTCAGTTAACGCATAAAACATAACTCTTTTTTTTACGCTACACAGAAGAAAAGAAAAGACAAGAAAATTGTTTATTAAGACTTACAAGAGTATTTGCCTGAAGCACACTATGGATTAGAGAGGAAGTAGCAGATTCGTTGTGCAAAGCGTTCCAAATGCGAGTGTTTGTGGTTAAACCCATGAGGTAAACACCGAAACGAAATTGAGGCTCCAAACCAGCTAAAGGTATCGATTTTGAAGAATGCACAGAGATTTGATCACCGCCGTTTGCTTTGAATACGTAGGCGAGAAGTAAAGGATTTAAGTCATCGATTCTTCTTGGTCTTTCTTCTGTGAGAGCAATAAGATCTCCACATTTTGGCTCGTACTTTGCACCTGCAGTAGCTGAGCCTTTTAACGCTATATCGTACGACTTGTTTGTTGAACTTCCACTTGAGTCCCTTGTGGCAATAGAATATATTTCAAAAACAGGAGATCTCGATAGAGATTTCACACTTGAGAACAGCTCGGTTCGTGTTTCCTCGAGTAGATGGGGAACAAAGCACTGAAAGTATTCATCCACAGATCTAAATCTGTCTGGTATTGTCTTTCTCTGTTACAAAAAAATAAATACACAATCGATAAGGAAACTAATGATTTAAGTACTGAAGATAAAGATCTATATATTGAAGAAATGGTTTATACCTGTCGCTTGTGTAGATCTCTGTTGAGAATATCTTTAATAGACCAAGAAAATACTCTATCGTACAGACTTGATTTCTCGTTGCTTTCCATGACCCTTCGTCTATCTATGAGACTGTTCATCACAGCAACAGAATAATGTAACCTGAGTTACGTAGGGACGTAACTTGTCTCGCAAGGCACGTAAATAGAATGAAAGTAAGAAGATTGAAAAGAGACGAAGAAGAAGAAAATTTCTGAAGTGTGAACTTTCAGTATCTGTTTGGTCTACTTAAAAGGAAGAAAGAAGAAGACGAGAAGTCCAACATACGTTGGAAATGAAATGATATCTTAATTTACAACATTTTCCAATAAACACTTCTTTTTTGAAAATTAAACTATGCAGTAATCAATGAAGTGAAGATGCATGCGAAAAGTCTAGATACAGAGCTAATAAGAAGAATCTGTTTTAAATCATCACGACTGTTTCTTTTGTTTTACGAGAGATTTATTAACTATTCAACCGTAAATTGTTATGGGGAAGAAGAAAGGTCGGCACTTTAAGAAGAAAGCATTCATGGTAGTTGACAGAGCATTTTCCCACTTCTTGTCTTAAAGCCAAAGTATTATTTTACGATTGTTCTTTTATCATAACCTAAACGCACACTGTTACAAGTGAACTTGCAGCATCAGAGCATACAAGAAAATGGCTGACGGCAATAACACTAACCCACCATCACCTGTCCTACCTGCCGGTGACGTTCCAAGAACATCCACTGCAGCAACTATCACTCCAAGGCAACAGTCAGAAGCAATAACTGTACCAGACCTAACTGAGACTCCTGCAGAAAGAGTGGCGAGGCTGGCTAGAAAAGAAGCAGGAACGTCTAATGAAGCAGACGCCACAGCGGAGAGACTTGAAGCTGAAAGAGATGAAGCGCAACGTAAGAAAGATGCCTTTGTTGACTACTATTCAAACTGGAGTTTCGCAACCAGGGCTTCTGGATCTCTTGTGAATGAGCATACTATAATGGCTACTCACAGTGATATCGCAAGGGATAACCCTCGTTTACCCTTCTATGTGAACGATACAACTGTCAATCTCATGGATGCTCCAACTGCAGTCATAGATCTTTGTAACTTGCTTAACAGAAGCGAAGATGCCTATAGTCATGAAGCTGCATCTATGGGGAGGGTGACCGAGAGAGAATACTTGTTGCTTCCCGCGGGATTGCCAATACCTCATGTCCCCATCAACGAAGTAGGCACTCCAGAAGCTGTTAAGAGGTTCGACACAACGTGGTTGATGGCTGTCTATGCACTTAACAAGTCTCTCTGCAATGACACTGCTAATGGGAATGATATTAAGTTTGGATTAGCGAGGATGCAAGCTGTTAAACTAGGCTGGTATGATGGTCTTCAACCTCAAGTCAAAATGGTCACTGTCCCTGCTAATCTTCTCAAGATCATGACCGATGATAAAGCAACTATCAGCTCACTTGAATCAAGCTACGGATGCAGCATGGATGGTGCCATTGGCCTGCGAGTATATGTTCCGTACCAAGGGACATCGTTTCATCACTGGACAGCAAGCAGAGTATGATGTGGTTTGCAAAGCTTCCTTGATGAGTGAAGTTGCCAGTTTCCTTCCTGCTCAGCTTCTCTATCATTCTGCTTTCCACTGGATCACTCCAGGAAGAGTGTGGAATGTTTTAAGAGCCAATGTTGAGACCAGCTTGATCATCCCAGATGCTATAAAGTTGAGAATGACTTATGGTCCTTCTGGTGCTGCCTTGATCACTACTACTGCTGCTGTCCTGAGAGCTTTTAGTGAACATGGGTTTATGAATGAGTTAAAAGAACTTAATGTGGTTGATGTAACTAAGATCTTTGAATTTGATGAGAAGATAAGAGAGAATCCACCTGTGTACCATTGCATACCAACTGCATATGGGTTGAGTTATCTTAGCCAAAAGGATAGGGAAGCAATGGAGGACGTGAAGGAAGAGGCTAAGAAGATCGCTCCCTTGCTACAAGGATTTTGTGAGACCATACTAAAGCATCACCCACTTGGGAAGCAGAAGGTTCTTGTCAAGCACTCTAACGACAACCCAGTGATGAAGCAAAAGGCTAAGAGATTCTTTCAACATGTCAGTAAAGGTAGTGGCAGCCTAGGAGAGCTGTATGGGGCCAAGAGGCAGAAAAAGCTCTAGCCAGGGACAATTACATCTCTGATGAAGAAGGTGGCTAAGCATCCGTGGAGGAGAAGACAACATATTTTAATGTTTTCATTGTTTTTTTTATATCTCGTTTGTAAGCCCGGTAGTGGCATGGTTTATTGATTTCATACTCTAGGTTGGTTGAGGTTCTTATTCTTCTACAATTCAGTTCAAGAATCTAAAACCTTATGCATATAAATTTTGAGAAAGTTTCAATGCAAAATCATAAAATACTTTGTGTAATATGTTTGTATTATTGAGAGGAGCCATGTTAATGAGGTTTTACTGAGTGGTTACCTCAGGCGTTCAAGTTATGAAAGCATCAGAAAATGACCAATGGGGACTTGTGCTGAAACGTAAGTCAGTGTTAAAGCTGGTTTATAACTAAATAGGACATTGTAGTCTGTAGTTGGAGATCAGTGGAGGCTCTTAAGAGTGTTTTAGCTGCGGTCAAAGATTTAGGAAGCAGGTCAACCTTCGTAGTCTCTTGCTGTATTTGAGTGTCTCATTGTTTTATTTATTTATTGACAATCTCCTTTATTGTTACAAGAAAATGTAACCCTTAAGGCCTTAACCGAGGCTATACAAATATATTAGAAGTTGAGAAAAATAAGAGAGAGAATATAATAGATATCTCATTTGAGATGCTTTGAGATACTCTTGAGATACCTATTTTACACATGCCACTCTATGATTTGTTTAATTTGTAGTTTTCAGATTTAGGTATGAGATTGAAAGTGATACAATGAATTGAAGTTGTAAAAGTTCTACATCAAAGTGATTTGGAAGCGATTTCAAAATAAATTACTAACACATTAATCTGTTTTTAAACAAAAATCTTTCCTAATTCTGATATAGGGACCTTTCGGCTTCGTCTTCCTTGCATAAACCAAAAATAGATTCTCTAAATTTGTTTCTGTGATTACTTTTGTAGGTTTCTCCAAACTTGTCATTTTTTGCGACTTTCGTTTCCTGCCTTGCCTTGTAAAATAGTTACATCTTTATAGAGCTATGATCATAATGCATGTTTTCATGTACCAATGTTTAACTTGCTCTGTTAAAATGTCGCAGGAAAGGAAATGGAAAGAACGGTGAAAACTGGTCTAGTGTATAGAATATTTTCTTGGTCCATCAAAAAATAAATAAAAAAAGATCTCAACAAGCAAAAGGTTTTCATCTCTATAAACCCTCTTCCTTAGAATTTTTTTGGTACTCAATCTGATCAATGGTTTATTTTGTAACAGATAGAGACAATACCAGACAGATTTAGCTCCAATGATGAATACTTCAAGTGTTTTGTTCCTCATCTACTGGAGGAAACGCGAGCCGCATTGTTCACAAGCTTTCAATCTTTATCGAAATCTCCTTTCTTTCAGATAAGTTCCTTGGAGACAAGGACAAAAGAAGAAAGTGTATTCTTATCAGACATGTTGGTCCATGATATAACATTAGTGGATGCAGAGAATGTCAGTGCAAAGTTCAAGCCACAAAGTGGAGATCTCATTGCTCTCACAAAGGAGCTACCAAGAAGTTTCCATGACTTGAAACCATTGCTTCTTGCCTATGTTCCTGTAGATGATCATCCAAAAATCCCTGTTATTTTGTCTAAAATGATATCAGATGAAGAGAAAAAATCACTTGGGTTTGGTGTTTTTCTCATGAACGCAACTACAAACGTCCGCATATGGAATGCTTTGCACCGTGAAGCTTCCAAATATGATCTCATCCAGAGTGTTCTTCAGCCAAGTACTACGGTATGTATATAAGGATTTGACTTAACACACTGTTGATTTTTTTAGTTAATTCATATTAAATTTCTCCTCTCCGTAACTATAAGTCATGTGTTTAAAGTTTAGGCTGTCTCTGAATATTTAGAAAGTTTAGTAAAATATTGTAATCTCTTGAGATAATGGTTTCAGTCTGAAGATTCAGTTTCTCTTGCTTGGAGTAAATGTGGTTAATTTTCTTGTGTTTTAGGGTATAGAGCAAACTGTTTCTTCTGATAATAGTTGGGGACAAGATGTTTTGGATATTATCCAATCAACGAACTTGAACCCTTCCCAAGAAGGTGCGATATTGAGCTGCCTTGAGACATGTAATCACAGGCACAGTGTGAAACTGATTTGGGGACCTCCTGGCACAGGCAAAACAAAGACAGTTGCAACGCTTCTCTTTGCCCTTCTCAACCTAAAACGCAAAACAGTTGTTTGTGCTCCTACAAACACAGCTATTGTAGAAGTAACATCGAGGCTATTGGAATTATCCAAGAAATCTTCAGAACACGCCACGTACGGTTTTGGAAATATTGTTTTAGCTGGAAACCGCAAAAGAATGGGGATTGAGAACAATGCTTATCTTCGGGATGTGTTTCTTGATCATCGCATCAGTAAACTTGGTAAATTGTCTTCGAAATATTCTGGATGGAAGCGAAGTTTGGAGTCATTCATAGACTTTCTTGAGAAAACAGACGCTAGGTACAAGCAATATGTTGAGGCTATAAAAGAAGCTGAAAAAAATAAAGAAGAAGCTGAAAGTAAGAAGGAGCAAGAAGAGGTTGTAGAGATTCCTACATTTGAAGAGTATGTAAAGATGAAGTTTAATGGATTAGGTAAACAACTGGAGATATATATGGTTGATCTGTACACGCATCTTCCCAAATTTTTCATTTCATATGAAGATGTGGAGAAACTGATCGCAGCTCGTCAAGCCGTAGAGCGTGTCAGAGATTTCTTGCAGGAGAATGTTTTCAAGAAAAGAAGTTATAAATAATTTATCCGTGATGATTGCCTTCTCCAGGCTCTAAGTGTCCTTCGTAAACTTTTTATTCCAACGTTAGCGGGAGAGGAAGGTATAAGGAAATTTTGCCTAGGAAGCGCGGATCTAATCTTCTGTACAGCCTCAGGTGCTGCGGAAATGACTACTGAGAGGACAGGAGATATCGAACTTCTTGTGGTTGACGAGGCGGCTCAGCTTAAAGAGTCTGAATCAGTTGTTGCATTGCAACTTTCTTGTTTGCGTCATGCCATTCTAATAGGAGATGAGTTTCAGTTACCTGCAATGGTTCATAGTGATGAATGCGAAAAGGCGAAATTCGGAAGAAGTTTGTTTGAGAGATTGGCTCTGCTTGGTCATCACAAACACTTGCTTGATGTGCAATATAGGATGCATCCTTCCATTAGTTGGTTCCCTAATCAAGAGATTTATGGAGGGAAGATCAAAGATGCTGAGATTGTTCAAGAAAGCACTTATCAAAAGAAGTTTCTTAGAGGAAAAATGTTTGGTCCTTTCTCCTTCATCAATGTTGGCTGTGGAAAAGAAGAGTTTGGCGATGGACATAGTCCCAAGAACATGGCTGAAGTTGCTGTCGTTTCTGAAATCATATCTAATCTTTTCAAAGGTATAAATTAAAATCTTTCTTGATTTAGAAGTATATATATATTTATATATATCTGATTCACTATTAGGTTTAATTTTCTTGATTTATTGAAACAGTTTCAAGTAAAAAAGGGATAAAGATGAGCGTTGGAGTTATTTCACCATACAAAGGACAAGTAAGAGCAATCCAAGAGAGAATCGGAGATAAGTACAGTTGCTTATCAGACAAGCTATTCACTTTGAAGGTTCGGTCTGTGGATGGGTTTCAAGGAGGAGAAGAAGATGTTATCATCATCTCAACGGTTAGAAGTAACGGTAACGGTAAAGTTGGGTTTCTGAGTAACCGTCAAAGAACCAACGTGGCACTGACTCGCGCAAGATACTGTTTGTGGGTGATTGGAAATGAGACAACTTTGGCTCTTAGTGGTTCGATTTGGGCAAAACTCGTAATGGACTCAAAGAGACGTAAATGTTTCTTTGATGCTAAAGATAATAAGAAACTGAGAGATGCCATGAATGATGCTCTACTCAAGGTTGAGAAGTCTGATTCATGCGCAATTTCGATCAAAAAGAAAGAAAGAAGATGAATGTTTGGTTCTTCTTTAATGTCATTATTCTCTGTTGGGTTGTGAATTGTGATTTGTGCCATATATGGGTTTTAAACTTTCTGTTAGGGTACACTACATAGAATGTGTATCTTCTGGTTAACTTTGGTTTAGTATATTTATTTTATAATAGTCATCTCATTTTGTATGCGACTCCATCACACACATCAAACACTTGGCTTCAAGTGAGAAGTGACATGACAATCCGTCATCAGTTGTTTTCCTTACGATAGCTCTCGACCGCGACGGGTTTTGAAGCTAATGTGCATGATTGTGGCACCATTTACAGCAAGAAGTAACATTTCATATCGTACAGATGCGAGGAATGTGAGTACATGCACAAGTATAAGTAGAATGTTCATTGCATGCAGAAAATCAAATCTATATAAATTCTTACCTTATAAGACGATATTATATAATGCGACATACATGCATTATTACATTTAGTAGAAGTATTTGAATATTTTGATTGATAAAAACCAGTTTCAAGTTTCAATGTTTTATTAAAAATATTTTCTATTTTTTTTATTAAAATAAAAATGTATCCTCCTGTATGGTAAATATACTTTATAAACTCATTTTTTGCAACTAAAAAGGTAAAAAAGCGACGCGTGTACTCCAAATCTTACAGGAATAAATGTCCTTTCCATATGAACTCTTCCTCTTATCTGTCTCCAAGCTGTTGCTCGATAGTTGGCATACTCAAATTCGGAAAATCAGGTTTTTCTTTTTTTTTCTCTCTCTACAAATCTTTGTTTTATTCGCCGGAAAGTCTCAAGATCACAAGTAGATTTGTGTGAGTTTTGTTTGATTTCTCTGCGTGCAACAGGTTATAACCATGTCGACTCCGACTTCACACTCCCTCTCCGGACAAAAATCTCCGCGGCAATATGCACTCGCAGAAGAAGAAAATACAAATAAGAAGATGAAGAAATCAGCGATAAAGAACCGGATCTGGACCGACGAAGATGAGCTCGCTCTTTTAAAGGTCTCTCTCTCTCACTCTCTACTTCTTCATCGTTTTGATTACACTGTGATTTGGTTCTATTTCTCACTCAAATCTTTGGGAAAAAAAAAAAAGGATTTGTGGCTTATCGGGCAACAGGACGCCAACCAAACCATGATTGGGAACATTTCATAGTTTCGTCGGAGATCCCATCACAGAAAAATTCTCACATCAGCAGTGTCGGCGTAAGATCAGAATCTTTTTTTTTTTTTTTTTTTTTGTAAAAGCGTAAGATCAGAATCTTAAAAGAAAGATTCCTCACTCGCATGGAGAAAATCAACCAAGGAAACGATTCCATCTTTAGTGACGCTGGAGAAGCATTTCGATATTCCAACATGATTTGGAGCCAAAACGATTCTCAAGTTGCTAATGATGAGATCAATAATGTTGTAAGTTATTATCAAATCATTTTTTTTTAGTCACCTTTTTGCTGTGTTGTTTTTTTGTTAAGCAATTCTCTCTAATAAACACAATGGTCAAAACAAATCTGAAAACTCTATAAAATTTATCTTTTAAGGAACATTGTTTTTAGATAAACGTTTCCCTCCTGTATGGTAAATAATACATACAAACTCATTTTTGCAACGACAAAGGTAAAAGCGACGCGTGTACTCCGAATCTTACAAGTATAGATGTCCTTTCCTTAAGAACTCTTCCCTCTTATCTGTCTCCAAGCTGTTGCTTACTCAAATTTGGAAATCAGGTTTTTTTTTGTTTTTCTTGATTTCTCTTCATGCAACAGTTGATAACCATGTCGACTCCGACTTCACACACTCTCTCCGGACAAGAATCTCCGCGGCAACATGCAGTAGTAGAAGAAGAAAATACAAAGAAGATGAAGAAATCAGCTTCTTCGAGGAAGCGGATCTGGACCGAGGAAGATGAGCTCGCTCTTTTAAAGGTCTCTCTCTCTCTCTCTCTCTCTCTATATATATATATATATATACTTCTTCATCGTTTTGATTGCATTGTGATTTGGTTCTATTTCTCACTCAAATCTTTGGAACAAAAAAACAAAGGGCTTTGTGGCTTATCGAGCAACAGGAGACCTACCAAACCGTGATTGGGATACATTTCGTCGTTCCCTCGGAGATCCCATCGCTGCAGAATTCTCAAATGAGCAGTTGCGGCGTAAGATCAGACACTTGAAAGGGAGATTCCTTAGTCGCATGGAGAAAATCAATCAAGGAAACGAACCCATTTTGGGTGACGCTGGAGAAGCTTTTGGATATTCCAACATGATTTGGGGCCAAAACGATTCTCAAGTTGCTGATGATGAGATCAACAATGTGGTAAGTTATTATCAAATCACTAGTTTTTTCACCCGTGCAAGCGCGGGTCTGTTTTATAGTTTGATTAGTAATTTTTTTTATTCATAAATTACTATGAAATCTTATTTTTCGCCAATTGTTTATTATTCTTCGATCTATTCTTCTTTATTCGTTTTTTTTCTTCTTTGCTTTCTTCTTCATCTTTACTCTCCTTTTATGTTTCTTCGTCCTCGTGATTTCTTATTCCGTTATTTGGTCTGTTTCTTCATCTTTGTTTATCTTTTGTTTATTTTTTGTTTTCGTTCTTTGTATTTTTGTCTGTCTTTTTATTTATTCTGTATTTTCTTTTGTATTATTCTCTATGATTAGTTCAGACGGTTCGAAGTTATAGAGTTTTGCTACTTTTTTTCTTAGATTATTCTTTGCTGGAATTTTTTAACCATTGTATCCTTTTAGAAATATTTTTTATGTAATCCTCTTTATGTAAAATAATATTTTCACTATTTGATACACTTAACCAAACTTAAAAATGTAAAGGATTCATAGAAATAAAATAAAGTTAGAAATATACAAATATATATTCACACATATATTGAACAATGTCTAACAATAATTCAATTTATGTGATCATAAATATATAGTTAAGCATAACTTTCAATTTCATATTCTTTGGTATCATCTTTTTATTTGGTTTCTTGGTTTAGTCTTATATTATATGAGATTTTTTATTTATATTTTTGTTCTTTGTTATTTTTCGTCTTCGCTTTTCTTAATCTATATTTTTTTTTTTGGCTTTTCTTGGTTCTTATTCTTCTATTTCTTCTATGGTTTATTTTTTTCATCGAAAATGCTAGGTTTCCCTATAGTTTGTTTATTCCAGATTCCTCTTCTTCTATGTATTGTTTGTTCTTCGCTTAAAATTCTCCAGGACTATATTTTTTGTAAAATATGTTTATTATTAACCTCTTTAATCTTAGGTAGAAACAAATTTTCACTATCTATCTAAACCTTTAAAAAATAAAATGTATGTCTAACAAATTTAATCTAGATAAGCTAATATTATTGTAGATAAACTAATGCTACTATTTAGGTTGGATTTCTAGGAGTATGAAATTTATTTGAAGAGAAGTTAATTGACACATCGTTGTTCTTCATTTCCTTCTTTACTCACTCTTGTTTCTATGTTTTTTAATTTTATTTCTTGATTCTCTTCATTTTTTTCTACTTTGATTTTTTTTTTTCTTATTTGGTTTCATATTTATCTTCACTCATCTTCGCTTCGGCTCTTCTTCGTCTTTGCTTTTCTTTATTCCTCTGTCTTGTTCTTGTTTGGCTTCTGCTCTTCTTCGTCTTTACTCTTCTGTACCCTTTCTTTGTATTCTTGTTTGGTTTTATTTCCTTCTTCACTTTCGTTTATATATTTTTATTTATTCTTCTTTAATTTCTCCTACTTTGATTTCTTCTTTATTCTTATTTAGTTTTTTTTTTCATTTTCACTCATCTTTGCTTAAACTTTTTTATTTATTCCTCCTATGTGTTTTTTTTTCATATATTTGGTTCTTGTCTTAGCAATATAACTAATTTACATGACAACTTTTTTTTGTTGTAAGTAGAAAATATATTTTTTATTTTTAAAAATATTTAATTACTTGAAAAGAAATTGTGATTACATGAAGGTTTCTATAAAAAGGAAAATAATTACTTAATTTTAGTGATTATCTGGAATGATATTATTGGGCTGTTTAAAATCATATATATGTAATAAATAATTTCTTTATTTCTTACATATTTAAAAATTGTAAATTTTTTTAATCATGTATATCTTTATGTAGACCAATCAAATTTAAATAGTAAATTTTATATGATGATATGTAATGATATTATTGGTTATTTTCCAATTAAGAAACTTTCTTGAGATATAAAAAGTTGATTAAATTAATTTTTAGAAATATAATTTATTTCCTATGATGATGTCGACTGATACTATTGGTTATTTAAAATTGGAAACTTTATTAATATTGGAAAACGCTTACATGGACCAATAATATCGAGTTTTTAAATCCTATGTAGACGCTATCAGAGGCTTATAGCCTCAACTTTAGGAATTGTGATGTTTTTAATTCAAATCTGGTTAGATAATGATTGTTGTCATATATCTTAGATTTTTTTTAAAAAATACATATTAATTTAGTTTATTTTTTTGTTGGTATTAAAAAGAAATATGTTGTAAAATCTTTAATGCAAAACATTTATAATATATTTAGATTAGGAAACTTTCTTGAAAATAAAAAGGAAATTACCAAATTTTATATGATGATGTGGAGTAATACTATTGGTTGTTTAAAATCTGGAAATTTCCTAATTGTGTAGATGCTTATATGGACCAATAAAATCGGTTTCCTAAATCCTATGTGGACGCTCTTAGAGGCTTATAGCCTCAACTTTTATATAGTATAGATTTTTTTATTCGCCTTTTTGCTGTGTTGTTTCATGTTAAGTATGATCTCAAATTTAGCTAAGCTTCCTCCTAACCTCTCTTTGGAGGTTAAGGTTAAATCTTGGATGTTGATTTTAATTTAATTCGTTGAAACCCTTATCTAGGTCTTCATACACTTTAATCATAACCCTAAAGCAAAAAGAAGAACACTCTAACATATAAAATTATGAAAGCGTAATTCATAAATAAAGTAGCGAAAACACCACCCATTAATTAAAAACGCCCTAACCTTACACTAAACACCCTAACCATGCTCTCATACCAATAATATAGTTGGTTTTGTTGAAATCAGGAGGAGGATGCAGGAGATGAGGAAGTTGCTGCAAATGTTGAACTTTTAAACGAGAAGAATGTGGCAGTGGAATCTGACTTTGAAGATAGCAATGCTACTGATGCTGATGAGCTATGCGCTGTGCGGGATGCATTTGAGGCGTTGGTGATGATGTCCCCAGATTTGTATGATGATCAAAAGAGGATGCAGCTCGAGAGGTTGATGAATCTTGGAGCAGGGGAAAGAAAAGAGTTGAGCGATGGATGGAAAGCTTTATTGGATGAGCAAGTGAAATTTGAGATGATGAAGCTTAGTTTTTTCGTAAACCTTGGAGAGAAAGCAACTGGTAAATGAAAATGAAGATGCCATTTGCAGTATTTTGGTGTTGTTTTTAGGGTAAGTTGATCCTTTTTGGAGTTTGTTGTGGCTTGGGAAGATGCTTTACTCATAAGATTAGGGTCTAAGAGGTTTATGACTATTTACTAAGTGTGGTTACTTTTCAGACATCACACCTATCAATCTAATTTCTTGTTATCCCCATGCCAATCCATTTATGGGACGAATAATGTCTCTCAGTTTTGTTCCTGAATTGAACATTGTGATTCAAGGTTGTCCTTGACAAGAATTTTATCATAGTTTTTTTTCTCTCTAATGTTTAATTTCTCCTTCTTTTATATATACTTCTATACTTTGCGATCCGCTTGTGCATCATCAATTCAGTCCAGTCAAATTGTAAGCTTTGTTATGTATCAATCATCAAACAATTGGCTTCTTCTCTAATAAATCCTGCAAACACAAAACCAGATTTCTTGAAGTGTCTACATAAAACTCTTTTGTTTTTTTTCAGTAAAACTATTTTCCTCACCGCGTATAGATCAAGCCCACCGTGGGAAACATTTTTTTTGGTTTTCCCATCTCTTTATGTCCATCTTGTCTATACTTGAAAAGTTTATTTCTCTGATTAGTCTTTCGGTCTGAAAATTGGCTCAATTCCTTTATTTGTATTCTAAAATATGAAATAGCTGATCATTTCCTATGTATTGTGCGTAGATGTTTAATTTTGGAAAAAGAAGAATGTTTTGTAACTTGTAAGAAAATCTAGCACCGTTAATACATGAGACCTAGAGGAAGAAGTAACAGTTGATATCGTACAAATTACAAATGCGAGAATTGTGAGTATAAGTAGAATGATCAACTTTATAAATTCTTACCTAGACTTATAACAAGAAATTTCATAAAGAGACACATGAACACATGAATCTTCACTGGATCTTTATCTATCTTAATGAATTCTCATACTCTAAAATCCATAGTCGTCCACTAAACAGTAGTAGCAATAACACAAGTTTTCTCTTAATTAATTAATAATGTTGCAGTTAAATCATCTCAATTCCCAGTTTCAAATTCCTTAATGCAAACACACATAAATTTCATGGAAGTAGTTGAGAATTTTGATTGATAAAACCAGTATCAACAATTTTTTTTATATATATAATATTTTCTATTTACTTCTTTGATTTTTATGACTCTGCATGCTAAAAAGGTGCATTTGATGAGTACCGAGAAGATTAGGACTTAAGAACTTGGAAGAGAGTGTTTAGACTGAAAATTAATGTTACAAAAATCGTAACGGTCCAATCAGCTCTTGATTTTTCAGTTTCTCGAGGAGATTAGGTTTAACTTTAGCACTTCTCCTTTTCCCCTCTTGTAAAATAAAATCATGTGGTAAATAATTAAGGTAGAAGCAACGCGTGTACTCCAAAGCTCACAAGTGTCCATGTTCTGTAATAACTAATAAGACCTCCTCTTCTACTGTCTCCACAAGTTGCTGATACACTCAGATTACTCAATTTCGGAAAATCAGGTTTCCTGTTTCTCTCTCGAATCTCTGATTAATCGCCGTGTGAATTTCGATTTTGATTTTGATTAATTTCTCTGCATGCAACAATTGCTCATTGCTACTTTTTTTCTTCAGATCTTTCTGGAATTGAAAGGAACTTGTAACCATGTCGACTTCACAATCCCTCTCCGGACGAAAATCCCCGCGGAAACATGCAGAAGAAAAAGAACAGACGACGAAGAAGAGAAGCAAAACCAATCAATTGGCTTCTTCGCCGGCACAGAGCAACCCGATCTGGGACAAGGAAGACGAGCTCGCTCTGTTAAAGGTCTCTCTCTCTCTACACTTCTTCATCTTTTGATTGATTCGTTAAATTTTCTCACTCAAATCTTTTGTACAAAATCAGGGATTAGTGGATTATCAAGCTAAATCAGGACTCCAATCAGACGTTGATTCCGATGCTTTTCGTCGATTCATCGGAGATTCCATTACCGCAAAATTCTCTAAAGAGCAGATACAGAGTAAGATCGGAGACTTGAAAGAGAGATTCTTTACTCGCGTGGAGAAGATCAGTCCAGGAGAAGATCCGACCTTTAGTGACGATGAAGAAGCTTTTGGATATTCCAACAAGATTTGGGGCCAAGATGATTCTGATTTTGCTGATGAGCAGATCAAGAACGTCGTCGTTGTAAGTTTTTTTTATCATTTTTTAGTCAGTTTTTACTTGGCAAAACCATACTTCTCTAGAAACCACAATCGAAAATATCTATTTGGTTTGTTGGATAATCAGGATAATGTCAAACCTTCAAATGCGGCGGCAGCAGAAACTGAATCGGCAACGGAAACAGAAACTGAAACTGAATCTGAATCGGAAACTGAATCGAGTGAGGGTGATAATGAGATTGGTGATGCTGATGAGTGGTTGCGGGATGCATTTGAGACGTTGGTGTCGCGAGGTTGGAGTGATTATCAGAAGAAGCCTTATCTTGAGAAGTTGATGAGACTTGAAACCAGAAAAAGAAAGGAGTTGAGCGATGAATGGAAGGCGTTGTGCTCTGAGGAATCGAAATGGATGATCAAGAAGGTTAGGTTAACCGCAAAACTTGTGGAGTTTGCAAATTTCAAGTGAAGATGAAGAAGCCCATCTGTAGTATTTTGTGTTTTGTTTAGAACAAAGTTGTTCCTATTGAAGTTGTGGCTTGGTGGAAGATGCTTTTAGTCATTAGATTAGAGGTCTTAAGTGGTTTATGACTAGAGGTATGTACTAAATGTGGTTACTTTCTCAACTAACTATGGTTTAGTTATGATCTTTAGGATTTTGGAGAAGGCTTAATCTAGTGTTTTGGTCTTTTGATCAATTTCCTCTGGTTTGAAACAATTTCTTCTTGCCTGTTGTTTCTGTCAATAACCATCTATGTTGTTTTAGTCAAGATAGATATCATTACTTTCAGTGTGTCTCTCATGAATTCTATCACAGAAAGAACCTCATCCAGAGCGTTCTTCAACCAAATTACTACAAGAAACGGTCTCGACTCTGTTGATCTACTACAAGAATGATTCATGTCAAAACTATACAAGTTTTTGTTTGTCTTGCTTGAGACTTGGAGTAACTGTGGATTTCTTGTAGCAAACTGTTTCTTCTAGGAATTGGGGACAATGTTTTGAATATAATCCTTTTAACGAACTTGAACTTTTCCCAAAAAAAAAATATATTGCATTCTTGAGCTGCCTTAAGACATGAAACTATTACAAGCACATTGTGAAACATTAGGCCCACTTGGTAGTGGTACATGCAAAAACAAAATGCTATTACCCGACCAAGTATTGAGCTTTCTACAAGTGGCCTAGTTTTGACTTTTTTAATACGAGAGATACATAAACTCATTAGCCGAGTTATAAACAAGAATCGGTATATCAAAAGCTGTTTCTTGGAGAAGAAGCCACCGATCTGAACCTTACTTTACTAACAATATGTTCTAATTATTCCTCTGCTGATGTGGATTCGTGAATACTTGTATTCCATGACAATTTGGTTCTTGTTTGTTAGCCTCTTGCTTCTTCAAGAATCAAGATACTATAAATTAAGAAAGTTCCTACTTAAAATTCTGTTCGGAAGATCTCACTGGTATTAGTTTTATTTTACAGGGTTTCTTGCATCTTAATCGGATCTGACCAATACTGAATGTCTCATAAGTTTGTAACTTACCAAATAGAAAAGCTGAGTTGACCTGAGAGAGAGAGCTAAATAAGGTTCTTAATGTCTTGTGACCAAAGTGTCTAATACAAAGCTAAAGTACGCCCTAAAAGTTTCAGGACCACATACTCACAAATATGATGATTATGTTTCTTTCTAACAACATCAAAACGAGAGAGAGAGAGGTGCTACGAACAGACATACAAAGAAAGATCAGCGGAAGGAAGCGACTTGGAAGACTTCTTCTAGAGCAAAGAGCAGATTCTAGAGATGGTTCGGGTTTTGCGGGAAAGACCCGCCACTACCTTCACCATGATCTCCCATTTGCTGCACATCTTCCGGCGATAGTATCTTTATGTACCAAACATTATTCACAAATGACCTGCACAACAACAAGCTTTGATTTCAAGATTTGATCCCAAATGTAACATACAGATTCAAGAACGAGTAGTGTTTAAAACTTACTCCCACGGGTCGTCTCCAAGGAGAAGAATATCATTTTCCTTGTCAACGAATACAAGCTGCCAGCCTGATCTAAGGGGGTCTTCCAACAACCCTTCGATAGCAAACATCTTCCCTAACTCTTCTCGCAGCTCATGATAGCTGCTGAATCGGGAGATGTCTAGTGAACGCCCCACCGAACCAGATTTATAAACCTGCATTTGTTTCGGATTCGCAAAGCAAGACAGTTAGAGACAGCATAAGAGTAACAAAGATGTTGTTGGTGAGCTCAAGAACACAGCCAGGACCTTTACAAAGTTCTTGGTTTCGGTGGAGGACGGGTTAATCTGTCCAGCTCCATGCAATAGCTCATGAGTTGTGTCTTGCATGCAGCTATACAAGGAGTTCTGAAACCCTGAATCTGTTAGTGACATAGGGGAAGCTTCAGCGTCTCCTGATGAAGAAGCAAAGCGAGGGAGGAAAAGACCAGAGTCGTGATCAACGCCGAAAAGAGAAGGATTCTGAGGGTTAAGGTTCAGATTCCCGGTTTCTAGGGCAAGACTCTTCCCTACATAGGCTTGTGGAAGTGACAACGGTTCAGAGAACGTGTTGGTTGCTTTTGGAGACCATCCTTCATTGGTTAACTGCTCAGGCAGTACTACAGACTGACCGGTTATAGAGAAGTTCAAAAGATTGTTGCCATCTCCAGAACCAGGAGAGGCAGAGTTTTGTTGCATTGGACTAACTGTTGTTGCAAATTTGTTGCCTGAGTCGGTGAAATCCGACTTCATGAAAGACGGTGAAGGCATATCCGAATGCTGCTGCCACTGTTGAAGATGACCACCGTTTTGCATCTTGAAAGCATTCAGATAAGCGTTTTGGTCCGGTTTTTGTAACTGCTGCTGCTGCTGCTGGACAGCTTGTTGGTTACTAACTT